TCATGGCCAATCTAATGTACAATGTACAGTACATACATGTAAGCCATATTTGAAATGAGTAATTTATGCCCAATAGACTGATTGCCCATGATGTTTTAATCATTAAAGGCAGGAGTGATGAAAGTCAAAAACATTTTCTATCTAATGTGGCATATGTTCTACCTATTTCTGTTTATCTCATCAGTTAATCTCTCGCCAAACTCATGCCTAGATCAAAACACCCAGTGTAGAATGATGCAAATAACATTTCCTATCATGTCATGATTTGAAGAACTTTATTATAATGGCGCATGCATCTAAAGAGATGAGCATCATGGCTTACAAGGTAATCGTTGTTTGCAGTCGCAACAAAACCTTCTCAGTCGTAGTGTGTGTCAGAATGTGAACTAAGAGATTATGCTAACTACACAGTCTCGTGCACCTTATAGTCTCTGTAGTACAGCTGTTTATGACATAGCCAGAGACTGACCAAGCTAGGCTCTGCTCAAGACATTATGGAATTGTGTTTAAATGTCAAATGAATGTGTCTGTGACTGAAGACTAAAGTAATGCCTGGGGTAATGCTCATCAATGGAAGGTTCCATAAAATCATCACTAGTAATAGACAGGGACAGTATTGAGTAGAGCTCACTTTCCCTAGTGTACAGGCACAAACCCATGTCGGTCATAATGCAGAACAGAAGGTCTGAGACTCTGAGTAAGAAGACTATACAGAGACCGCAGTTCATAAGCCTTGTACTGTATCTCATTTGACACAGTAGTAGACAGACGGAGTTAGGCTCAGTTCAAGACTTTATGGGATTTTGTGCAAGTGTCAAGGTGGAGTATGGTGCCTGCAGACTACACTTTGCCATTTAGTGTTGTGTGTGGACGTAGGTTGTTCTCCTCAGACAAGACTGTGATGCACGTAATGCTTTATTCATGAAGTTATCTGCCATCGGGCTTCAAATGAGAGGGTTGAAACTTGAAAACATGTACCTGTTTGTAAACGTATCCTATTACACCCAATTCTACTGATAAGTCATACTTTCTTGAGTAATCAAATTTATTAGGTAACCAGTACCACCAGTACGTACTACTGATGAATATGGCACAAGGAATGGATCCAGTATATCTTTATTATGGATGTAAAATCTACATATGCTTTCCTTTGCTCACTCCATTTTCAATGAACTTTCATTTCAACCTTTTTTTGTTCAGAACTCAAAATGTTTACATTTCATACGTGTAGAAGAACATGGCAAGTTTCCAAGGAAATGTTAGAGTGGATGAAATTTGAAACTCCTCATAATTAGAGTATATACTTACAGTATCCTATGGATTATTGTTGCTAGCTACGTGCAGTTTGTCCCTATTTCTTTGGTGTAGTCTGGTATTCTCCCACAGGCATAGAACACCTGTACTTGAGAATATAACTTGACATAGAAGAACTTTGACAATCTTGAGGAAATGGAGTCTTGCAAGTGAAGTGTGATGATGATAATAAAATCTAAAAGCTCTGTGTGGTAGTAGCAAGTATCTGAAATCCACTTAGTAGATTTTCAACAAGAAATTAAGTTGATAATTAGGGAGATACATGTATCAAGTCCAAATGCTTTTTATTGGAAATCAATTCAATGAAACAACAAGATATGAATAACCACCATTTTAAATAAATTTGGCGGGATTTGTATTTGTTATTATTTAATGTAATGCGCATCAATTTTGTGCATCTTAGGCCTTGGCATTTCTTCGAGTATAACCCGTTTTTTTTTTTTTTTTTTTTTTTTAGGGGGGGGGGGGGGGGGGGGCGGTGAGGGGGTTAAGTATTTGCATGCATTTCATATGCAAGAATATCATATGTTATATTAAGGGTATTTACCTTCTTATGGTGAAGGTATTAGTGTGTTTGACTGGGATTTGATTTGTCATTATCTTTTGAAAGTTCATTTCAGTGTGTTTCAAGTTCAGACTAGGAGCTCTACATGCTAAGGCAATTACTCTGTTTACTATGTAAGTGCTGTAATATACATGCAGGCCGGTGGACATAGCTTGCATACCACACTCCTCTAGGCTTGCGTTTGATGATGGTTTCAGGTGTATATGTCCTACAGCTGTCTTAAACAAGATATATAGGAGGATAGGGTTGATACAAGGAGTGCCCTTGGTTGACTGTACCTATGTTCAGACTTCCCAGAGTTCACTGTATAGATATACGATAAGTACTACGTTTTCCTAGTCTAAACGTTATATAATGAACCGTATAACAAAACGTTGTGCCCTTTTGAGCATTCTTTCAACCTAAAAACTTAGAAGTGAGCAGGGCTTATGATGTGCTCATACTGATGCAATTGTCCTCTTCAAAACTAGATTCTTTACACAATGAATGTTGTTATCTAGTCTACATTCTTTCGCTATACAATGATTCTTTATACAACGTCTCTTTATACAATGTTGTCATCTAGTCTGTACCCTTGATGCTTCTTAATACTACATTCTTTATTTGTGTTTGATACACATTTTATCTAGTGTGAACAGGGCAATAATCGTTGACCTGGTGCTATGCCAAGTTCATGGGACAATTCCCCCATTACCAGCCTTCTTCCTGACTGACTGCTTATCAACTCCGACACATGTATGTTTGTGAAGGAGGTGATGAGAAGGGAGCCATGTTGACTCTCTGTTCTATCTCTACCTGTCCATCAATGATACATCATTCACACAAGAGCAGATTCCTATCAAATGTGTATCAAGAAACCTTCAATAAAGAAATATAAAGAGTCATTGTATCGTGAAAGGGGTGTGTTCATGGGATAAGTATTAAGGAACACAATCGTATTGAGGAGGGAGCATCATAGAAAGTGTAACTTATGGGTGGGTCAGCTTGCATGTTATGTTTAATTGAAGCTTATGTCATAGACATTCTTCTAGTGTACACATTTGCAATTTGCCAGTTTTATCATCATGCAACTGTTTTTGTAGGATATGATGTTCACAAAGGTGATTTATCATGATTCTTTAGAGAAAAAAAAATCAATAAATAATTCTCAAAATTCATTTTTTTTTCCCGGACACCCATAGGCATACACAAATAAAAACCAATTACTTATCACATACACATTTATCTATTTGATTTTCATGTAGTTATATGATATATTTGGCAAATCTGAATGGGGAGGGCATGTGATAACCTCTACAGATAAATGGAGTTCATCTCCAGGTTTCATATTTGTAATGTCTTATCTCAGTAAAATGGTATTCTAAGGACCTTCATATGAAGAAACCAACTCTAGCATCTTATCAATAAGAGAAATCCACCCCTCTCCCTATCTTTCTCTGAGATAACCTTTTGGAAAGGGTCTTGATAAAAACAATGAATACAGAGATGTTCAGATTAATTTGTTTACTCCGTTATAGAGCAAGGTGACATGTCTTGATAAGTGATAAACAAGGTTGGCATGGACATTTTCTTCAGATAAATAATGGTTGTACAGTTGTACTTTGCTCAGTCAACAGTTGACATGCTGTCACATCTACATGCCTTGTATGTTAGGCATGATACCTTGTAGGTTGCATGCCTGCAAGAAATATTGGTTCTCAATTTTCTTTTTTTTTCAATTCAGCTGAATAATTAAAACCAACAGCCAAATACATCTTTAAAAATAATGGCTTTAGGATGTTTCTGACAAATCATGTGTCATTTCAATAATTCAATTAATTATGAATTTACATGTACTAACCATTTGGGTGGATTATTTCAGGATTGTATAATGGTATACATCTATAATGTATATATCTCATCATTGTAACAAAATAATATAATTTGTTCTCACTAGGGTTTTAATGACTTTATATTTTAAATGATAATGTTTATGATTCACCAAGTCAAGGGGGGGTGGGCAGAGAAGGGTGATTGGGAAATAAATCATCACCCCTGCTGTAGCATCAAGTAGTCACATTTAAAAAGCTGTACATATCCAAATGTGAGGTGTACAGGTTGAGCTCAATTGACCCAGCCCCCAGATTGTGTCATGTCTCCCTCTACTGTTGAGATGTAGATGTTTTATTCACTTTCATTGAGCTTGGTACATACAATTTTTGTGTGGTTTTGTCTATGTACACGTTAATGGGGAAGATGGTTTTGGTTTTTGTAATCTCTCCCTGCTGTATTCTTGAATCTGTTTAATAGTTCTACAGTGTATGTGAACTACATTGTATATTTTATGGATTAGCTGTGATTCTCTCAAAGAGAAAACAATCTCTCTCTGAGTTTATGTATGGAGAGGATTATTTATAGAAATGTTATTTGTCAAATGATTAATCCTGTTTGTAATCCTTTAAGTTATAGGACATATAAATTTGGCATTTTAAAGGAGTTCAAATATACCAGCACTGTTTCTAGTATATATTTTCAATTTTTCTATGAGCAAGAGATTTTAGCTTTTTGGTCATCCAAACCTTAATAGGAACTCAACCCCTCTCCCACCAAAACGGACAGTTCTCTTCTTTCTGAATTCTGTCACAACTACCCGTATTCTAGAGTTATGTTATGGTTCTATTCACCGACTTCACACATATTTTAAAGGAAATGTCTTATTCTTTTTTAATTCTTGCTTCATATTTCATCTGTTTAGAGCTGAAAGGGCATTCACTCATATCATTCTACACAGAGTTGATGCCCTTCTGTCTTCTAATGGTGAATTTGCAGATTATCTATTCTATACTTTACTTTGGCTATTTCAAATGCACTATATCAATTATGGATTCATGAATCATGATATTTCCTTCTGATACTTCTCTGTACATGGGTTGCATTATCAAACAATGAGTGGTGCAACTCTTTCAATGGTATGATATTTGATCTCCTCTCGAAGGTCCATGGTGAAAAATGATCTCCTGCATGCTATCAACTCGTTGTGTGATATGCATGAAAGAGACATTGTCAAGAATGGCATGCAACAAGGGGGGGGGGGGAAATGGCTGTTGGAGTAAAAAGGTTTGAAGAGAAGGCATAGTCCCTGTGAGACTGAGGAATGAGTCATAGACAGAATGAGAGCATTCATGACACAGTGAGTGTGAGGAGAGGCACTGTCAATCATCATTAGGGTGTATTCACACTCGCTTCAGCTCATCTCAAGGGTGGTCAATCAAACTGAGCATTTCTTGTTCAAATTTTGTTCTTAGTTTACTGAATTTTGAACCTAATATTGTTTTGCTGATATTCAATGTGAAGCAATCATGCTACATTCATAGGTTATGAAACTGGCAGATATTAAAGTCTCTGAACTTTTACTCATAGTTTAATTTGATTTTAAATTAAAATTTACAATTTCATGTGTCTACTTGTATCATTAAACTGCTTTTACATTTCATTAAAATCATTTGATAGAAGTTACATACTAAGGCTAGCAAAAGGTTTGTGATTTTACTTCTTGAAGTACAGGTGCATGTATAATTTGAAGTAGCTATACTTGTATGCATTGATGCTTCACACATAATGATGTGCCTTGGAAATATGATTGAGTGATTCATTGGGCTTGGGTTGGTTAAAAGGAATTAACGGACATGAAGTGTCAATCAGTGTGTCTTTTATATATCCTAAATTCATTTACACATAAGTACCTATTAAACCGTGCATGTTAATCATTTTCCCAACAGCACAATTGTTTTCTCTGTAAGGTACAGCTATGACTATGCATTTTAATCTGTTTTCCTCCATTCCTTCCTCATTATTTTGATCAGTCTGAAATCACATGTCAGTGTGCTCTACAGATTTTCAGCTCAAATCTCAGTCAGACTAGAAAATGTTGACCTGAAGCACTTAACTCACTGTGTATTTCATCTTTCATATATCAGAAAACAAGAAGGGATGCTCAGTTTTATTATAAAATTAAAGCACTGATGCTCAAATCTGTTGTCTGTTGATATACATGTTCTTCTGATTTCCCCAAATATATGCAGTCCTTTAAGAAGGGGCCCTTAGTCATAAAGTAATCACTAGCTCTTTATTAGACTGCGATAACAACCAGTTGGCACATAACAAAATTGAGAAGCATGATGATTTCATTCCTCTGGTACTCTGTCAGCTGATATCATCAACTTGACAGCTACTGTATTACTGTCAGAGCTGGGTAGATCCTGATGATAATAAACCCACACAATCCTTACCAGCAGACTGCCCTCACAGCTACTTTATTTACATTCTGTAGCAGACGACGCTCCTACCCACACACACACACACTCATGTTCTCCCATCATCATCTGTGTGTCTGTGTGTGACAGATGCTTGGTTCAGAGATACACAAAGCCTGATATGTGCTGGTTATGTTGGGGACTTGGATGACTCAGTGCTCCCGTTTGTATTCACGCCGAAGCTTGCCAACGAATGCCGCTTCCCCCATCGAATTACCCATTCATCGTTCTGCCCTTACTCACTTCTTCACTCCTTTTCCAGCTTGAGCTGAAGAGTGGTTATAACATACCAAAGCTTAAGTTATCAGGCTTGTACACTTTTTATTTCATTCGTGTTGTTTAGTGCCGGAATGATGAGAACTTTTTATTGGTATGGATTCATTAGCATATATATTTTTCATCCTGAATTGATTTAATGAATTTTTAATAAAACTTTTGTGTAGTATTACATTCAAGTTCTTTGTGGATCAGAATGAAGCGGTACTAAGTATATCACGGAAAACGCTGGATACTTCTGCATTTTGTTCTTTGAATGCATGATGGAGCAATAAAACTCGTTCTTCTTGATAAGGCATATTAAATATTTACAATGCACTCATGGATATAATACTTCTATTGATAAGCGTGCTGCGGAGGCTTTAATGTGGAGGCTTCATTCCAAATACGGAACAAATTGTTAGTGTGTGATGTACCGCATGATTGGTTGTATCAATCGCATGGATTCTTTCTTTATACCTGATGCAACTTAGCCTGAAACTACTGGAGGTGTTTTGATGAGACATGACCATTCCTATTTCCAACCATTCCAAAGGAAACATGACATAACGTCCATTCAGGAAATGAACATTTATGCTGCAACTGCCATCATGGATATGTACATCCACTACCGACTTCAAAATTACTGTATACTCCAATGTATATACCTTTAGCCAAGTAAGAAAAGTCATTCCTTTTCTCAGTCCATTCCAGAGCAACATTTGTATATATTGTGTGTACATCAACCCAAATAATCAAAATGATGCGAACATCTTTATCCAGCATGGTGCTATCTGAGTCTAGCTCCCCCAATGGGGTCGACGAAGGGGCCAAAAATAGTGGTAAAACCGGTGGAGGTAGCTCATCCAGGAGATCATTGAGCTTCAGACGGAAGAAACGCAGCCTTAGCTGGAGAAAGAACAGGTGCCTGAGTGATATAATCAATGTCGGTAAGGATCATAGGTCTTCATTTCCCCTTCAATCTCAGCCAACAGAAACTTTCTTAATTGATCTTGGAAGAGGAAGAAATAATATGCCTGATGTATCAAAAGTTCTAACTCTACTTTCAATTTAAAGTAGAACCTGGGCTGAATCATGGATTTGTAGAATAGGTATGATTCCAAAATCCCCAATATATTTTGTTTCAATGCTGCTTCCATTTTGCATCTGTTTGGTGAGGTTTAGTTTCTATTTGATAATGATGCACAAGTGAGTCACATTTGCCAACATTCATTATCTATTTGATATCACCAAACCATTTATAGATTTTTCAAAAATATTGATGAGTAATCTAAACGTTGTAGCAATTCAAATTCAATAAATGTAGATTAATAAGCTGGTCAGTATGATATGTTTCCAAAGAAAAAATTGAAACGTGTTCAACTATTACTTGTTTTCCTTCAGGATTGAAAAAAATTATGAAGTAGAGTTGTATATTTTGTTTCCCTGTTTGCCCAGTTGCACTTGTGCGTGCTTTGAAAGGCTGAAGCACTGCATGATTATGTGCAATTGCGCATACTTTATTGGTCAAAGAGCCTTTGAGTTTGCTTTGAAAGATGTAATTTGTAGCAATCACATTTGATTTGATTTACTTTGTCAGAGACTTGCAATCATCATTCTTCTGAGGTTTAGCTTTAAGTTCCCTAAAAAACGGCCCCTTGCTTGTTCATCAATGTTAATCACTCCAGACAAGCACATTTCTCTCTTCGGTATAGTAACTTAATCAATTGTTGTTTAAGTGCAATCAGTGAAGCTACAGCACTTTCTGTCCCTCTCAAGGATAATCTCCTTAACCTTTCTACGTTTAATTGAAGAGGGTGGTCTTATTCTAAATATATAGCTCTGTGGCTTCATGCATTATTCCAGAGGCATTGATAATGCAAGGTCCTGGTTTAATTTAATATAGGGAAATGTCACATGAATAAAGAAGTTATATTATGACTTTGATATTAACTCTCAAAAATGATTAATATAGAGCATGATATGCAAGCAAATTACCTCATGAATTTGTTAATAATTGTGTTTTCCTTGTTATAAGCAGGGAGTATGAATTTGTTTGTATCGTGCTGTTCATTCCATGATGGCGTTAAATGGACAGGGGGGGGGGGGATTTTAATAGATAAATTTAGTTAATAGTCCTGTTTCTTCTTGGAAACCAAAATTACCCCTGAAAACAAACACCTTATATCATTTCTTTATCTTTGTGGCCCTTTGAACTTTGGTATTATTACTTCTTATGTAGAAAAATAATTCAAGAGTGAAAATAAATTGGAAACTTGGTGGTTGGTTTAATATTGCAGAGTATTTCCCCTCTATGTAAGTGAACGAAAATATAGAGATGCATTGAATTATGAACAAAGCACTGCCCCCATCATGCTGTACATGCAATCTGCTCTGTTTGCTGTCCACTCATTTGCATGTACAATATGCATGTATATTGATCCAAGAAATATTGATTTTGGTACAACACTGCTTTTTGTACTCCACTGCTTGTTTACTCTGGTATAGCAATAATATGCGAACCTTGGACTTGAAATGGGTTTATTTCGAGTGAGAGAGAGAGAGAAAGAGAAATGTTGATAACAGGCAAACTTTTATCAGTCAAAGACCAGCTGGAATGGAGAACTGTAATTCATTGTCTGGAAGAGGAATCCCCTTTGGCTTTATCTCCTTAATGACATGTAGATTGAGGACTTATCCTTTGTACAGGAAATCTTTGAGAGATGACTTGCTTTGGGGCAGACTCTCTATGCCTGAGTCACCCCATCAGATTTTCATACTTCAGTCTTGGTTTTTAGAGTTTTAGATGAAAAGAAGTGCTCTTGATTGATTTACATTGTCGGTTTACCACATTAAATATTTCCATATTATTTTAGGGCTGAAGGCGGTGTTTTCCATGTAGATGTATGGTGTTTCTTCTATTGTTTTGTAAATTGCTTAGAGCAAAGCTCATTTCTTTATTTGTAGTAAATTAATCATGGTTGCTTCGAAAATACCCTCAGCAGCAAATCAAAATCTACATTTTGTATGGTAGACAGAAATTGCACACCACTGACCAGTTATGTAATGTATTAATGACTCAAGTATATTCATAACACTAATGAGTGAATCAGTATTACAGCGCGTTCATGCTTGATTTTGACGGCCAGAATCAGGCATCTGTTACGCGTTTAGTTTAAAACACGCTTGCGTTCATGCTCACTTTTGTAGAATCACCGAAAAACGGCGATCACGATCGCCGATCGTAAACTCACAAAAAGATGCGTTTACAATTTGTAAACGCGTTTAAATGGGTCAACGCACTGATCTCTAGTGGGTCTACGTAGCATGCGCACACAGGTTTGCGAATCCAGCTGAAGGCCACCCAAGCAGAATTGCCTGGAGAAGTGAGCATGAACAGTGCACCGTGGAACTGCGATTACGATGAGCGTTTACGATGAGCGTTACAAATCGCTCATTCTGCCTTCAAAATGAAGCATGAACGCGCCTTAGTCTGGTTGGTGCTTTGGCATACGCTCTAGCGACATTTGCTCCATGCATTATTTCCTCAAAGATATCGGGGTTAGGTTTGGGGCTGGAACTGGGTTTTAGTTTAGGTTTAGGGTTGAGGTTAGGTATAGTTTTTGCTTTGTCCTGGGCTGGTTGTTGCAGCATATGTCTTACATTGATAGCATGGCCTCATTATGATAATGCATAATTCTTGCATGAACTCACTAAGGATTAAAACTTCTTCTTTGCCTAATGCAATATTTCAGGAGGAAGTTGTTGAGAAAGCAGCTATTGGATCTCGTTATAGGAGACAGCAGATTAATCTATTAAAACAGTTGCTAAGTAGGTACTATTACATAACCATGTCATTAGCATTGATCATTGAACTCACTATTACTAGGCAAGTTAAACTATAGGGAGTAAGTACACTTCCTCAAGATAGAAGTACTCTGGGAGAAATAACAATAACCTTCTTCTATGCTAGAGAAAATGCACCAAGATTGAACCATGACCTTTGATGTTTAGTTTGCAAACATTCCTATCCTGAGATCACTGTAAAGAATCTAGCTATTTTGTTCTGTTCAATTGATTGATCATCTTTTCCCCTGGAACTGGCCACTCAAACAGAGCTGAGGGTAGAGACAGCTTGTACATTGACAGAAAAGCTTGATCAGAGAGAGAGAGAGAGAGAGAGAGAGAGATGCTCTCTGTATGTTTTGAAGATGTGGACATTGAGGGAGATGAAGAAGATAACATTTTACCAACCAACCCTTTATTATTTTGTATTACATTTTTGTATATGTTAAACAACTCACTTTGCTGACAGGCTTTTCTTTATATCATTCCTATTTCTTTAGCTATATGTCTTCATATATTCAGAGAAGATTTTCAGACTTTCCTGGACATTGTGATTAAACTTGTTTAGGGTTTGTTGACTTTGTTTGATGGAAAAGGAAATTGGAGTATGTTTATAGGTATATTTTATTTGAAAGAAAACATAAAATATCACATAAGTATCTCCCCAATTAACAATGTTATATGAACTCTGAATAATGCAATATGCATATGCAAGAGGAAAGTGAAATCAAACAGCAATAGCTTGTAGTAGTTCTCAAACAATGTACCCCCCCCCCCCTTCTTTAAACTTTGCCAAAAGAATATGCTGGTAACATGAAAGATGCACATTTTCAATTTCATTATGAATCTTTGTATAGTATTCACAACTGCTTTTCATGTGTATTATCCAAATGATGAATGAGGAAGTTTGAATGATGATCAAATCAAAACCTGTGAAACACAACAACAGTGTAGATAGATGTAAGAATTTAAAGCCCTGCCAAATACATCATTTTCTGCTTTAATACAAAATACCTTGGAACAATTTGGTTAACCCAGCAGGGGTTCTCATGCCTAAAATGATAATTGTGGACAGTTATGGCAGATTATTATGCTGGCAATTGTATGATTGTTTATTTGGACATGCTTGAAATGTAATGACCAAGTAGGTAAAGAAAGACTGCCAACAAGTAGTGTGCTTCTACTCAACCAATAATAAAAAATCATTCAAATGGAGATAATGTGGGAGCCAGAAATATTTGCCTTTTGTGTGAAAATATAAAGATATATATATATATATACAAAAACATGTACAGTTGAGCAAAGATTATTGAACCTACATGTATTATTGTCATCCCATATGTCAACCTACTCAACATTTCAAGATTTGATTAATAGCTACATTGTAGCTATTGTATTCATTGTTTGCTCTTATAAATAACTGAATAATTGTAGTTTGTTGCTTTTACGAGCCTCAAAGGAGATAAGCACTATTTGGTATGGTGTGCATAGTTTAGTTTGGCTAAATGAAAATAAGAGATTGCATTTTCTGGAAGTTTGGAATTAGTACTTAAAAACAAAAATTTTGTTGATAACAAATTTGATATTTGGCTTCTAAAATGGGTTTGTATCCCATTTATTGCTATTATGTTGATAAAAAACATTAAAAGGAAATGAAATGAATTAAACCAAGCAATTATTTTCTTGGCTTGAATGTCAAATATGTTTCATTGTATGTAAATGTGAAAGTTTTCAACACTTTTTACAGGAGTATTATCTACCCCAGTCCCTACTATATATATTTGAAATCAAAATCATAAGATTTTATAAAAAAAGTTTTGTTTTGTGTATCATTTGGGAAGTTTATCTTGCTTCAAGACTTCTAAGTTTACTGGTAACATTTTTTCTTCAAATTTACTGTCTGTATTTGATCAATTATTCTTTAAAAAAATGCTATGTGCATTGAATATGGAGGATTAAAATAGTTTACCATGAATATAAGGTTTTCTAAAATGTAGACTTTGGCTATTTTGACATTGATTTAAATTGAAATTCAACAGAAAATGTACATGCTAAACCTACGATCATGCATCTGTGTGTGCTGTGTGACCAGGTAAACCACTAT